CGAGCGTTAGCCCTTCGTCGTTGGCCCTTCGTCATTCGCTCCGACGAAGGGCTAACGCTCGAAACGTCAGCTTTTGTAATCGTGACGGTGGCCAATTTATCATTTCAACTTTGTTGATACATCCAAATTATTTCGTTACTCCCACCGACGCAGCCCCAAACAGTTTCTTTCGAAACTATCAGCCTTTGGACATAGTTAAGTTCATCCTTTTTTCCTTCGGAGGAATTGGGTAGATTTAGAGCCCTGTGCAAGAGAGTTGATGCTGTGCTGGCCTTGTGTTGTCTGTCGTGATGGGAATTAAAATCTAAATATCTCTCTGTACGAGAGGGCTTTCTGTAAACAACAACAATGACTCCATTTCTACGGGAGACCAGAGTGTCGAGAAAGGAGATCTTTCCGTTACATTCGCTCTGGATGGTAAACGAAATGTTTGTGTCAATTGAATTTAAAGCGTCATGGAAGGCTGAAACATCGTTCTTTCTCATGATGCAAAAACTATCGTCCGCGTACCTTTTCCAAATTTTGGGGGGAACGGATGAATTATTGATTGCGGACTCTTCGATCTCCTCCATTGCAAAGATTGGCCACAATGGGGCTGACCGGGCTACCCATCGCACAGCCATGGACTTGTTTGTAAATTCTGCCATTGAACACAAAATAGTTGTTGGACAAGGTGAATTGAAGAAGTGTAGTGACTAACGCAGATAACAACTCTTGCCGTTACCTGGACAATATAACACTCTCTTTAACAAATATTCATAATCATTTACATTCTCATTATTTCGCAGTTCATGTCTCTATTTAAATTCTCTCATCGCCTGCTTATCATTCATTTTACCCGTCGAAGACTGTAGTTCGGGCAGTCAAAAGCTCGTAGTTTTTAATCATTTTTGCCAGAGATCGTTTTTAAATTTCAACTATGTTTCATCCTGGCTGCGGCCCTATTATATTTTCATGCAACAATTTAGTTGGAAGAGCTGGACATGTTGAGGAAGAAGTCTCCACAAGACCTCTGGCTGGAAGATCTTGATAGCTTTTTGGAAGAGCTGGAGGTAAAGTCTTTATATCTCAACATAATTTACCTAGAACCATGCAATTGGCACCAAGGAATGTCGAGTGTCTGAAAATACACAAAACCTACAAAAAGTTTGGAAAAAGTGGGGGTTGATTGAGGAGAACTCAAGGAATGAAGATAGAGTTTTCTCTCGTCTCTCTTTTTTTAAAATCCTATTCAAAGTTATATTTTGTACACGATATGAAGGTACTTAGCACACGCTAAAATTGCTAGAATGTTGTTTCGTAGTTAATCTATAGAATAGGAGGTTTTCAAAGGTGGCATGGTCTATACAGCATGAGAGTGCTCGTTTGTCATTTTAAATTTGCCATTAATAACAGCGAGTGGAGCAACAGGAAAACGAAGATCAAGAAATGTACGTGAAGTCCAAAGCAGGGCGCTCACAGCAGCAGAAAAAGAAACCAACAAAGCCGGCCAAGAAAGCTGAAAGTAAACCTAAAACACTGGGTAACAATGAACGAGAAAAGAAAAACACAGAACTGAAGAGCAAGGAAACGGCTTCAAAGAAACAAAACAAGAGTAACGACTCCTGGGAGTTTGATGATACAGATGCAGGTGCCCCAGTCAGATCACTCGCTGACAGACTTGCTCAGCGACAAAGTCACAACCTTCCCAGCTCATCATCATCTTCGGTTGGTGGTGGAGCTGAGACAACTAGCAGTTCGGCTGTAAAGGTAAAAACGCAGTCTACTCTAGAGATGTTCAGTTCAAAGAAGAAGGCCAGAAAAGAAGCAGACAGTGACGATGATTTTATCATGGAGTTCAGCGATGATGGACCGCCCGTAGTGAAAAGGGCCGCTAGGACAGGTCCTGTCAAGGTTTGTGTAGTGCTGGACTGTTAAATACCTTGGTCAGCGCGCGCTCCAGCGAATTGTAACAGACAGAGTATTATTAGCAGTTTTAAGGAGTTGGCTGGTAATTCTAGTAGTGAGCTCTAAACATTGACTTTCTGCCATTTGAAGGTTTGCTAAGCTTTGTTATTACAGATCATTTCTGTCTCTTTACAAATTGAGATGTCATTTGCACTTCTGGGCCTTCCCCTTCCTCAACTATTCCTTTTTTGTAATGAGTGACTGGACTAGAAGCAAGTTTAGGCGGAATTGTTGACGAAAGCGCTTATCGAAGACTTTTAAACCTGTCAAACTGCCTCCATACCGAGAATAAGTTGATGGAAACATCGCACGAAGAAAGAGTTCGCCACAGATCCATGGATGTGGCATGAAAAAGATTCTTTGAATTCAATGAAATGGTAAAACGTATGTAATAGTTCGGGTTTCTTTTCTTTTTTTGCTTTGCTTTGTAGACGTACTCTTTTAGTTCTGACGAGGATGATGACGATGATCTTACGGTCACAGCAGTGAAATCCGCAAAGCAGGCTAAAGAAGGAAGTATTGATAGTGATGCTGAATCAGATAAAAGTGACGTGCAAGCCACACGTGCCCTGATTCAAAAACTCTCTCCTGCCAAACCCACAAAAACCGCTCATTCGCGGGTGAGTAAGATTTCGCTAGGTTGTCAAACATTTACTAAGCAGCCAACACCTATGGGATCTTCTCTCGTCAGCGGACAACCTCAGATCGTATAAAAGAGGTTAACTGTGTAGCAGAGGTTGAGTGAAAGTTGGCGCGTGATGTGACAAACAGTGTTTGAGCGAGGATGAGAATTTTGTCCTACAGTGAATATCTTTTTTATAGTAACAGCAGTGGCGCGAAAAAGAGATTCTCGCCATGCCAGGAGCAGAAGGCTGTAAGGCAAGCGTCATTCTCATCACAAACGGTCCTCTCCATTTCGATTAAAAGATAGCTGGAGTCATCAAAATTTAGCCATATGATTCTCAGGTGCAGTGGCTGGATAATTTCCCTATCTCCAATGCCTGATAAACACCCCCGAGCGAGAGTTGATGTAACCTCATTGGATTGAATATATCCAGATCTTTCATTATTCTCGATTGTGATTTAACGAGGAGATCGTTAAATGGGGTAAATTACAAGTCACTTAGCTATTTGAGAAGTCTTGAGTAAGTGTATTTGGTGCTTTGCAGGCAAATAAACCATTACAGGATGATAAATCGGTTAAATCTACGAAGAAACAACCTGCTAAGAACAGTACGGCAGTAGCGAAGAAATCCACCGCAACTAGAAAGGCAGCTTTGTCATCTTCACAGGACGACAGCCCTGATGACGACGCAGCAGCAAAGAAACAACCAGCCAAGAAACAGCCAGCCAAGAAACAACCAGCCAAGAAAGGCAAGCGTGGAAAGGCAGTAATTCTTGATAGCAGTGACGAGGATTCTGATTCAGCGATGCTCTCCTCAAAGAAACCTACAGCTGCTAAAGGAAAAGCGGTAAAGGTAAGTGAGGTTTATTGATAACCATCTTCAAAATACCATTAAAATGTATTTAGATTGCAAAATGGCTCTCCTCAAACAATTTCCACCTTTTCCTCTAATCAAGAGAAAATGAAACAGCATTATTTTTGGTCGATGAATACCTGTATGTTCTCACAAAATGATTAGAACCAGAAGCAGACCCCCACCCCACCATTGGCTACCATCTTAGGGTTTATTCCTAAGCCAGGATGCATTGTTTTCTAAAAGGTGATATGAAATATCATAAAAATAAAAAAGCCTTGAAGAACGAAACTTATGCTGTCAGTAGTTCCTGTTTTAGGTACAGTGACAAAGAAAAACACACGACTGAAAAAAGGAAGACTTTGCTAACTTTCAGAAGTTACGACACAGCTCATGTTTCTTAAACCTTCAGCCTCGCTTCTATTAATGTTCCGTTTCTTTGTCATACAGCCCAAAAAGTCACCACCAAAGAAGGCGAAAGCAAGCGTAGAGAGCTCAAGTGATGACGAACCAATGGAAATGGCTGTTGTCAGCCGAGTGGCTCGCACTGGCAGATCCAAAGCTCCAGTGAAGTATTTTTTGGAAGAAAGTGACAGTGACGACAAAGAGAATGAAGACACGAAGGAGTGGTCTGGATCAAGAAGTGATTTTGATGATGATTAATTTTTATACGTTTTAGGCTCAGGCGGGTACTCAGCTGTGTCTTTCAAGGGATACGATATAGTCTGAGAAGCTTGGTTTAGTCCTGCACCTGTCTCCTATAAAAACGGTTTTTCTTTCCGAAGGAGACATGGTAATTGAATCATTTCCTGCTTGCATGATTTCCCGCAGATGCTTGTTTTGTTAGCATCATATCTGTAAATAACCTCCTTTTCATTCAACTGAAAGCTTTCGAAAGGCCATGTAGAGATTCCTAATAAAACAAAAGTTAGAGGTTTACTTGACAACTACACATACACTTTATGTCCTCGTTCCCTTGTTCCTTCCACCCTGTGGTTTCAGAGAATACCTCTCCTCACTCGACCGGAGGCATTCAACTCAAAAACAAATTGAGCAATTTTCTTCAGTCTTGCAGTCAAAAGCGTCATGCAAACTGATCGATCAGTTCTCGCTTAAACTAGACATGCAATATTCGACTGACAATTTTAACTCTTCACTTGAGCCTAATAATGAGCTGCACAAACTACGAAGAACGATACAGTTTAAATACATGCTACGTAACGTAATGATACAAAGAAAGCGCACGCAAAACTTTACTACAATTAACACTACTGCACAAAAAACAATAGACAAAAACTAATGCGTAGCGATCTACAACAGCACTGCTAGAGTAAATTGGAATCAACCGTAGCTACTACTAGCAGAGATAAACGTCCTGTTTATCTTCGAAGAGTAGTGCAACATTTGATTCCAATTGAAGTAATGGCAATCAATGAAGTCGCACATTCAACGCAACCCGCTGTTATTCAACCAGATAATCAAGTTGTACGAGATAACATTGCGAGGCCTCAACGCCCTGCAGCGGTTGTTGGAGAAATTAACAGACAATTAAACAGTTCATGAACAAGCGAACATTGATTTCTTTTCTTTTCGTGAATTTTGAAAGTTTCTCACGTAGTGAATAAACTTGGGAAGTGTCGGAAACATGGAGACGCCCCCATGCGAGAACAATTTCTTTACCTTTGAAACCAGACATTTCGTTTTGTTTGTACAGTGACAGTTGATTGATTAACCTACTGATTCTCATATTACCTATATATATATATATAGAGAGAGAGAAGCGATTGCACATTAGCGACACAATAAACGAGTTGTAATTACTTCTTCGTTTAGTTTATTATAAATAACCGTAGCTCAGTTCTTTGTAATGACAAGAACAGTGCTCTCCACTTTATCACCAATGATTTTCAAAATAATCCACAAAGGTAAGGTATTTTGAAAATCAGTAACAAAGGTTGAGAGGAAATCTTAAAGTTGAGAAAAATGAATATGTCCCGAAATGAATTGGTTCCTACTTGGTCCATGTTTTGCCATACGGACCGTTTTCACCGAAACGGCAGGGTGTCCAGTTCCTATTTTTTCCTATTTTTTGGGCCCATTCCTATTTTCTCCTATTTTTTAACCAGAACCTCCTATTTTTCCTATTTTTTAGCCAGTAAAGCCAAAATTTGTAATAAAATTGAAAGTGGAATTATAGTTGAATGTGTTTTATAGTGAGATCATAAAGCACATAGTACGTTGACTCTGATGTTCTAATATTAGTTAAAGTAATAGCCACATTTGTTCTACGAAAGCCAGATCACTACAATTCTGTGAAACAGAAATAAAAACATATATTGGTGGCGAGAAAAAGAGAGATAAGCGACAGATATATGGCCTACTTGTCAACGGAATGGACCTCTGTCATTACACAAAACAGGTCAAGTCGAGAGCGGGTGAAAGATTCATTCACGAGGCTTATTCATTCATGTCAGTGTCATTGTATACATATCTATGTATATATGTATACCTTTATTTGCAACTTTCTTTGGATCATATTAATTCCGTCCGTTTGGGGTGAATTGTTAGAGGTACGTTAGCACAGCTTAGCAAAAATCTCATGATCATGCATTCTTTGTCATTGCGAAATAATTAAAAATAATTTTATCAAACTTAGAAGCTGTAGTGTGTGAATCTTATGGCTTGCTATTTACCTAGTCTCCTCTAGGGCATTATCTCAGAGAGCTCTTGGTAAAAAAGTGGAATAAAGCTTACATTTTACTAAGTTATTTAAACTTTTAGGGCAATGTTTGTGTCAGGACTGAACACGGCAAGCTTCTGTTCCGAATAATTAAATTCTAGTCTGGATCCGTTTAACTTGAAGAAGACCATCATTTTATTTATTTATCTATTCTTCAACTTTAAAATATTATGGAACATAANCTTGACCTCGCGTTCGGTCTGTACTAGCAACCTCGGTCAAGATTCTCCCATATAGACCTCCCGCTCGGTTAATAAGAACTAAAAACTAAGTAGGTATGTATGTTGCATGATATTTCCTAACCTTGTTCTATCAGTTACCCTCGTCTCCCTTGAGTTACCCTTGTTCTACCACATTCACCCCCATCTACCCTAAGTTACCCATGTTCTACCACGTTTATCCCCATCTACCCTTGGTTAGCCATATTCTACCACGTTCACCCCCAACTACCATAGGTTAGCCATGCTCTACCACGTTCACCCTCATCTACCATAGGTTAGCCATGTTCTACCACGTTCACCCCCATCTACCTTAGGTTAGCCATGTTCTACCACATTCACCCCCATCTACCATAGGTTACCCATGTTCCACCACGTTCACCCCCATCTACCATAGGTAAGCCATGTTCTACCACGTTCACCCCCATCTACCATAGGTTAGCCATGTTCTTCCACGTTCACCCCCATCTACCATAGGTTAGCCATGTTCTACCACGTTCACCCCCATCTACCATAGGTCAAGATTCTCCCATACAGACCTCCCGCTCGGATAAGAACTAAGTACGAGCCTCGCGCTCAGTAAGAAGTTATGAATAAGCTAAAATTTTCAGAGGTTCTCGTTTTGAATGTTGTGCTCTTTGATTTTCTGGATTCTTGCTTTGCAGAGTTTTGGGGTTTGAGGTATTGTAAGGTTCAGCCTAGTGTTTGTTCTTGGCAAAAGAAAAATGAACACTTGCCATATAAGGTGTTGAAAATTTGCGAGTGAAGGAACCTGATTTCGGCCGCTTTCACGAACAAAATGTGATTGATCACGTCGTTGGGTATCCACAGGTTCAAATAATCAAGGAATTAAAGAAATTAAGGGATCCATGGCAGAGGAAAAAGAATGAGTAGCCCTCTTTGTTAGCTTGCCCCTCAGGTTTCAAAAGAGAACTGTGTAGAAGGGATCTGTGCTGCCATTAGAATGAAAACAAGGCACACTTTTCTTCTGCCTTTGCCTTTCAATCTCAATCCCAGGGTCTCTCCCGCTGCCACCCCTCATTCTTACATTAATAAAGGTGGGAAAGGAGAGAGACTCTGGGAATGAGGTTGCAAAGGACTCAATACAGAAAGATGCTGCCTGTGGGCTTGCAGCATGATGAATCATCTTTGAAACATCTTTGAAAATCCCTTACTGCAGTCACCACAACAAACAAATCCAAAACCTTTCTTTATGTCAATTACACGAAAAACCATATTAACATTAAAGATACTTTAATGATATTTAACTTAATACAGATTGCCTTTCAATAGTATCATTTCAATGTTGTTACACCTCGACTATGTACAAAAATAACCTATGGTGAAAATAAGTAATGTACCTCTATCTGGAAAAAATAATTACGTAATGGTACTGAGGGAACTTAAACTAACAATAATGTTAATACAATGAACCTGGTTCATATTAGCATTGCACCTACTTTGGTTCAAAGGGTAAACATACAACTATGACACTTTAATTTTCTCGAATGGTCAAGCCCTCTATCCCAAAAAATTATGAAGTACTAAACATAACACTTTTGCACATAGTAGGATTTAAACATTGTCAAATCAACCATACACTAATTAATCCATGTTCTAGTACAATAATTATTGCTTGCGTGAATATAAAAAACACATTTGAAAATTTGCATAGCAGCTAATTTTGAAGATTAGTTATTTGGTCCTTATGGTCACTTCGCACAAGTTAAGGTAGGAAATAAAACAATCCTTTAACAATCAGAAGAATTGAAGATCTCTGTAGTCACCACAGCAATTGCCTAACTTGACATATCTAAGAGCTGAAAAAACAAAAACTGATGAAAAAATGACAGCGACATTGTAATTGTAAATTTGAAGATAACTACAGACAGTATGGTTGGGTTAACATGTACAAAACTAAATCTTTGGCACTCATTTCACCAATAACAAGGTGCACTGACTTGTAATGTTTATTTTGTATGAGTTGCTTTTTGGCTTTTCTCATACGATTTCTGCCACCATTTTGAGTCCATTTGTATGACCTTCCTACCTTACTCACAAAAAAATGAGTCTAAAATCGCTGCTGCTGATAGAAGGTGTGATCTGTATCATTTGGAGGTAGAAGTTGCAAGCCAAACTTAATTGAGTTAACTTTTGGTACTGGGTGCACCATTCAAAATCTGGTGTGTCTTGATATCCAAGTTTTTCAACAATTATAAGACAAACAATAGTGAATTGGACAGTAATATCATGCAAATCAAATGAATAAATCGATTACTACAAATTAAATTTTTCTGAACAGAACTATTGTAAGTTAGTGAAAATTTCATCAAACCTTTATCTGTCAGTAACAACTTATAGTACTTCCTTTCTATCTATCAATCTACCTCCTAGACAGAAAGTACCAAAACCTTTCCACATTTCCTCTCTGGTCTGATAAACCTCATTCTGTGATATTCCCAATTACATCAAGAGCTGAGTGACAACAGAGGCAGTCAATTTCTTGGTTTGTTGACTCTACTGTTTTGAATGTTTTTCTGCTACATATTATCTTTCCCAATACATACAGTACCTTATCACCTATTAAAATGCTGCTGCTCCAGACACTATTTTTCTTTGAAGAAAAACTCGACCAAAATCATCCACCTTATTAGGATAATTGTACAAACTACCTCCAGCAGAACGTGCAAGAAAGCCATCCAAATCTAAAATACCACTGTGAGTTAAATGTTAGGTTCATCTTGAGGAATATAATTAACAGCATAGAACAAACCCTGCATAAGACTCACAGTTATGAGAGCCAGGGAGACTTTGACCATAAACTTTTATATCACCTTTTAAAATTATTTTGACCCAATCAGTAAATGTTCGTGTTTTGTCCAAATTATCACACACTTCTTGAATATCAGTACACTGCCTCCCTGATATTAGAGTCTTATTAGTCGTAGTCCATACCAATGGACGACTGGAGACGCTTTGATGGAGGAATAAGGTGATTAGAAAGTTCTTCTGGTAGATCATCATCCTCTAACTTGATCTTTATCAAATACATTGCCAAAGCAAACTCATCTTCATCAAGTTTCCCATCACGATCTATGTCAGCAAGAGTCCAAATTTTACCCAATACGTTGTTTTGTAGCTTGGATTTTGTCATTTCCTTCTTTGCAACAGCTCCACTTATCTTTCCGCCTTGAGGATTCAAACTTTTGAAGATCTTGTCATATTCATGTTTAAATTCTTGAACCACCCAGTCATCTGATCCAGCCCCGAAAGCAGCACCCTGACAGGCTCCTGATGCAAAGGGATTGTTGGAAGCATGACTGACAGTAAATGCCCCTCCTTGCACAGAATGATCAGATTCACTTTCATTCTCCAAGGGTATCATGGCCATCAGGCGTGGAATTTCATTTGCCAACATGCGGTCAAGGGATTCTATCAGCTTGGTTTTCAAGGGGGCAAACTTTGAGAAGTCATACTTACGCAACTGCTCTTTCATTTTCAGTACAGGTGGGAAATCTCCAGGGGATATATTTTGTTCCTTCTGAATCTTCATGTAGACATCAGAAAGCTTGTTCAAAAGTTGCTCCTTCTTCTTATCCTTACCAAACACTGCTGGCATTTGGTTTTTCAGCTCTGCTATAACATATGCATGAACCTGAGAACAGAGAAACAAAAACATATTAGTGCTTACTGTTAATGGCAGACATTTCCAGGCCCTAGAGATTACTTAACTTTATAAAGTCTAAATTTTACTACTAACTTTAAGCTAATTCAAAGTAAAAATCACATCACTATTCATTTTTCATCATCTTAACCCATTGACACTTACATGTAACACGTGCCTACGAAAAGTCAAAATTTTCAAGAAACCAAGAGAGCAAACACAATGCGCAGTAAATTTTTAAACATCATCTTTTCCAAAAAACATGCTCCAGTGAAAGACTAATTAAAGAACTTCTTTCCAATCAATCAATCAATCAATCAATCAATCAAAGTTTATTGTC